GCTTACAGATGCGTTAATATTTGTTGGGCGATATCGTGCGCTTCATGATAACAAGGATCAAATCTCCCGGGGACATAAGACTTGCGCACAATAGTTGGAATCTCAGTTCGAGTACATGCATCCTCAGTAAATCGCTCGATATATTGTACAAATTCGGAAGTTGGTTTCCAATTTTTCTTCACAATAACTTTTTCAAGCCAGTCGAGTTGATCCATATCAAGAGTCCTTTTAACTGTCTTATAAATGTCTTTGTCAGAGAGATCTAGTATGCTATTAAGACATACTGAACTCATGTAATTCTCTCCTGATTTTTTATCTTTATTTTGGTATTCAACCAAGATACCGAGCAACTTATTGCGAATTTCTGCTTCGTCCTAGGAGATTAAATAGAAATGAATATAGCTATTATTTATAAAAAGCAGTAAAAATTACAAATAATAAAATACCTGAGTAAGTTCCTCTTCAACATCAATAAATTCTAGCTCGCTCCTTTCTGAATCAGTTTCAGTGTCGTGTTCCCTTGCAGAGGAAGGAGACGCGGAGTGACCATTGGTGGCTTTAACCTGATTATCGACGCGTGAGAGGAAATTTCGTGAATAGATATCATTTGCGATTTTTTCATACTGACCTTCTTGCTTTTGGCCGTAGTATAGTTAGCACGCTTTTTTTGGTTCGTCTGCAAAATGATATGTAAACAATTGTCCATCAGGCAACATTCATCTAAAAGCGAACAAAAAATTAAGTTATATACTAACATTTTTTTCTGATGTCATATCTTCACAATTTTCGGAAGTGCGCTTCATGACCTGCCTGCGCCGTTCTCCCACTTCTCTAACGTAATCATTATGTTCTAATGTACGTTCCACGGTGAATGCCATCTAAGTGATTTGAGATTATTAACTATTATGTAACAAAAATCAAAGAAAAATTGAGAAGCAATTGCTTACATCCAAATTTTCGATAATAGTTTCGTATTCCTTGATATTTCTCTCTTTTTCAACGTCTTGCCAGAAGTCATTTACTTCTTTAGTATTTGCCTCATCCTTTTTATAAAAATGATTATTAGTGATGATTTTCCAACAACTAAGATGATCGTTAGTTGGCACTTATAAACAAATCGAACACGATGGATCGTCAACGACTTAGCCTAGAACAATTCGTATCAAACACGATGGATCAATAACGAACTGTTTCAGATTGTTAAGGCTGCTGTGATTTGTTTATGGCTAATAGCAGGTCGCATCAGAACACGATGGATCATCAACAACTTAGCCTAGAACAATTCGTATCAAACACGATGGATCAATAACGAGCTGTTTCAGATTGTTAAGTTGTCGTTGATGTGACCCAAGCTCATCTTATTTACAAAAATAACGATTATTTTATCACTTAACTGTAAAGGTATTCAGAGCTGAAATTACCATAGGTCGCATTTCGCTTAATCCAGTGCCTGCTATCATACCCAAGGTCATAACATAACAATTGTGTTCCTTCTGTTTACTCGCTGTCCAATTTTCTTCTTTATGACGGAATTTTAGAAAGTTTAAAAGGTTCCAAACTGAAGAATCTGAGAAATAATTCGTTTTCATTTTATTGTGGCGTTACTGAAAAGAAATACACTGAAACGCGAGCATGAGTGGAAACGCTGTAATTAGATACTTCGCACTGACACGTGATTATCATGTATTACTTCACATAGGCAGATTTTCAAATGATCAGCAACCAATAATTTAAGAGCACATTTCCGATCTAGGGCTTTTATTTTAAAATGATTCAGAAAATGCTAGAGAAGCGAATGAAAATGTATGATGCTATCAAAGAGGGAGGAAGTACGCAGATCCTAGGCCATTTAATGCGAGTCCCAGCATCAAATTATTTCTTTGCTCTCTCTATTACTAATTTAACTAATTTGTTTCTATCGCTAATATCGCTATCTATAAGTTTCTTACACTCTAATCTATCCCGACTATACATACAATATTTTCGCCTATCTATATCACCCTTTCACATAGATCATGTAAAAGGTTAAGTTCCGCAAGAGAACTATTCTGTGATGAATTAATTTCGAACCTATAGTACCAGAGAATATTCCGTAATTTTTGATAAAAAATAAACAATACACTAATAAATTTGAAAAAATTTATTGCTTAATGATTTTTGTATCGAAAGCATGATATTACGCAATCATGGCACGGGGAGTTGTTCGGATATTTGATAACATGTGACAAAGCCAACAATTTTACTGTGCTGATTTGACACGTGCCGGCAATCACGATTTTCTCGACGAAGATCAAAATGCCGATATATAGTAAGAAAAGTAATATGTCCGTTTTATTTTTGGACATCTATAAAGGAGGAAAATAGATTAACATCGTGATGACATGTTTCAAGAAGCTAGCCTAGCAATAAAACCAACCTAGCTTATTATAACTTTGCGGAATATGCGAGTTCGTTTTGATTGTTGATTTCGATGATGTTAATAATGGTAAGTTTTATTTTTCGTTTGATTTTTGCTTTAGTTGCGCAAGACAGATAAAAGAGTTCACTAACCAGGACATCACCTTTTTATATGATTCGCAGGATCGATTTTGGAATACGCTTTTGGAGCAAATTACGTTAATATGATTACATCACGAAATTCTGATCAACGGCCTCTCCTTAATTTAACAATAGTATATAAAGATCGTCAGGGAGAGTTTTTATTAATAAATTTCATTGAGTACATGCGGGAAAGTTCGAGAACAAATGCTATACTACGGTTATAAATAAGTTATAACTAATAACTGTAGATACTGCGATCTATACAAAAATAAATTACAAGAATCGAGAGCTAATCTGTGATATATGACAAGGACTATCCTAAACATTGTACTAATACAATGTCCTATCATTAATTCCATAATCCGTTTCATTTGTGCCTTTGTGATCCTCAAAAAATCCCGGAATGAAAAATACCATTAGCTTGTAATCCTGAGTCGTTTCATTGAAATGCATAGTCACAACCGGAGTACTCCCACCTTAATTGTTCAATGTTTCGTACGAATTTTTTTCACTGACACTTTTTTCATATTGCGGTACGATGCCCTGTTTTTGTATTTGCGCAAGACTTCGGAAGAAATGAATGCATTTGGCAAGAATATCATACTGTGCATTTCAGGTGAATGACAGAGTTTCTATGCTATGATTGCGAATTTGAGTTTATTGCTTGAACTGTTGCAGGTAAGACAATATTCTGTTTCATTGTTATACCATTCGCCATGTAATCCATAATTCCCATGTTTTCTATCACAGATAAGGCATGGTTGAGTCCCACGGCTGAGCTAATGCAAAATTATAATTATCAATCCCCTAAGAATTTCAGGTATGTGAAATGCTTTAAGACAGATTCGATAATTAATTCTGGATAGGGTGTGACTTCATAAGTGATAGGCTTGAAATTGGAGGCTTGAGGTTTCGCTGATACACTTGTTACAGTTTCTGATAATTGCCATGGTTCACATCCAGTTTTTTTTTTATATTTTTTGTATAATTTGGTACAAATCTTATCTGTCAAAACGCTTAGTAACCCATTTAATGTGGCATGCCAACCCAGATATTCGGAAGTTAATATTTTATGGACTTAGTCATGTTGCTTTTTATATAAATCAATTTAAATTTAATTAGGTAGTAGTTGACTTGTAAAAAAAATATCACATAATGAAGTGTGAGCAAATGTAATATTATAAAATAATAAGATTATACAGTTATCTCAATTTCGCGTTGTTCATATTTAATAAAATAGGATCTGGTTTTATATCTACCTTCTATGCTTTCTTCATCACCATGGTCTAACTTGCATAATGGACATGATATTTTGTCAGTAATTCCATAATAATCGAAATTTTCACTACTAAATTCTCTATATAAAGTAGGATATTGATCCAATGTTTTGTTGCAAAAATGAGCTTAGTCATAAGTTGAATTAGATTGGAATGCAGATAATACATTTGCCGATGTACTTACTCCTAAGAGATTCACTTGTATCTCAGTCTTATTGGTTTTCAAAGTCACGTGTCCATTCCAATTTGGAACGGAGTCTTTATAATCTACATCATCTATATTAATAGCTTTTTTTGAGAAATCATTTATAATATTCCGGATCTGATCTTTATATAAATTCAAGATAGCACTTGCATTACAGCTAATTATTTGGATTCTATTTATTTCTATCCCATCAAACAATATATAGATTTTTTAGTTCTAAAAGTTATTTTACGCAAATTTATATCAGTAATATCAGGAAGAAGGGGTTTGATTTTACTGTATACCAATGTTCTTGCTAATTTGTCATCAACACCATTCTTAGATTTAACATTCCTGACTCAATCCTCATACGCTTTATAGTAATAATACCAGTATAAATCTCTTTATGTCTAATCTTCATTGTTACTCTAAATAGATCAACTATATTCTATGCCATAATTTCATTAGATCCTGTCAGAATTACTTTTAAAGAAAGATCAGGAATCAGAATATCAAACATTTTATTAATCTTACCATTATTGCAAGAAGATAGCTCCTGTCTCAAGACTTGCTTCACTTTTTGGTTATAAGGAATTTTTAATACTCCATATCTGCGTTCTTATATGATTCAGAAGCTGAAACCTGTTTGTTTACCATAGATAATTTCACAGGCGATATTCTAACAGATGTTTGTTCTGGAAGAGTTACAGGTTTAGTGCTAGTCATAAAGAGGTCTTCCTTATAATGAATCAAGTCTGAGATAACTGAGGATAAGTCTTTGACAGTTGTCTCATGCTGAATCTTCTTTTCCTGTCTCTTCTCTCTAATTTTATTACTAATGCTTTTCTTATTTACTTCAACCAAGAAAATATCTATTTCCTTTTCCTTCAATGTCCTAGTTTCAACATTATTTCGCTGGTCTACTACAACATTAGATAAATCAACATCTGATACTGCTAAAGATGCCAGCTGAAACTCTCTCAAAATAATTTTGTCATATCCTTACTATGTTTTTAATATAGTTTCAGCTAATTTCAGGTTTCGGGATTTCATCGTACCCCTCACTATGTTTTAATATAGTTTCAGCTGTTTATTAATTGCCTTTTTTGAGTTTCGTCTCTCATCTTTAGATACCGCTATTTTTGGTAACACATCTGCAATCATTTCCTTATCATTCTATAAAGTCACCAAAGAACCCTGTTCTAATATCATGAGTCTAGCCTCAAGCTCTTTATTTTTTGTTCTAGTTCTTCTACTCTAGTGTCACGTCTAACATTTTCCTCAATAATTTGCCTTAGCTTCACGATCTCTGCCTCAAGTTTATAATTTTTGATCACAAATCTAACATTTTCTTACCTAAGTAAGTCAATCTCAGATTTCATTTTTGATAACACTTTTTATATAAGTATTCAAAATAAAAAAAGTCATTGTGTTCGTCTAATTTAAAATGCAGATCACTTTTGCTGAGAAAAAATGTTTTATTAATAAACGCAAAAAATAAATACAAGTTCAAAAAAATTTTTATTATTACAATGCAAAAATAAATACATAGATCAGGACATAGCCAGCGATATATATTATTTTTTGATAAATTTTTGATCCTAACCCTCTTGCTAGCTGGGAAACTATCAACACTAACATGATCCTTCAGCAATCCAATAATAATACTAATTATCCTTTTTATATTGCTTCGAAGTAATTCAGAATTTTCTTTAACAGCAGATTTCGTAAAATTAATCTGATGCTCACTAGTGCTTATAGAATAAATACTATCTGGAGTATATATAATAAAATACTACTCTGTACCTGTAGTCACAATACTATAGATGCAATAAAAATAATTATTTCCAAATATCTGATCTGCAGTCCGTTTCTTTTTATTTGTCTGAAATGCGCTCTCAAGTTGCATCAGATTTTAAAAGATAAAATGTGTTAATATTAGTAAATCTCTAAAACATGATCTGAGTAGTAAACCTACTTGGGTTAAATATGAGGGACGAAACTCAAAAAAGGCAATTAATAAACAGCTGAAACTATATTAAACATAGTGAGGGGTACAACGAAATCCCAAAACCCAAAATTAGCTAAAACTATATTAAAAATATAGTAAGGGATATGACGAAATTATTTTGAGGGAGTTTTGGCTGGCATCTTTAACTTGGGTATATCTAATCTTAATATTACGTGATTTCCAATCAGCAATATATAGGAGGTCTTTCAAACTTTTGATCACATAGTTTACTCGACCCATTGCATCTTTACCAGAAATGTTCTTTTGTAAAACTATGAATATCTTGAGAGGTAAGATTTTTAGTTATAGCAATAGGTGCATGAAGAATCGATGAAATAAATTCATAACGAGTCGTATCATTGGCATCAGTCATAGTCTTTACATTAAAAAGTTTTAAAATAATATCATTTATATATCATCATTAATATTTTTGAAGATTGCGAGAAAAAATTAAGGTTAGTATAACCAACTAGTCAGTTTTGAAAAATTAATTAATTATCCACCAGGAGTAAATTGTTTAATACTCGTTATATCTTTCCTATTGACCTTATTTCTACGCAACATTTCTTTCAAGTCATCAAGAGTTTTGAGCAAGAATTAGTTTTTTAATTTTTGGCTGAGACCTTTAATAAATTTTGCAAGTGTTGTTGCAAGACCAGCTTTCAAGCCATAACTTCAAAACTCTTATTTAGTTATATCAAGAAAGGCGAGATCAGAAATTTCTTCTTTACGTAAAATTTTGAAGTGGGACTCCTCTAGCTTCAAGCTTTTCTTTTTCAAATATTCGATAAGCTCCTCTATATTAAAATCCTTAACTATGTCAAACATTATTCTAGTGGAAATTTCTTCCATTATTGAGATGGGTAAAGTGGGTGAAAAAGTTTGTGAAGACATAGTTTTTATATATGTGTATTTGTACTTGTGAAAAATATGCATTTGACTGCAGACAGGTAAAGCTGATTTATAGATATAAAAGTATTTTTAGTTTCTGATGCTTGGATAGAAATGATGTATCAATTCATAATGCATTTACCTAATATATATGCAATTAAAATATAGTACAGAACTGTCAGGCGAATACATTACATCATTTCATATGATATTTTTAAGATTTACGACAAGAACGTAATATATGCTTTATTTAAGAAATAAAAAAATATTACTAGAAAGTCGACTTACAATACATAAAAATTACGAATATATCACTTTACATAATGTGAATAAAATTTTTTAACTATTTGCTAGAGGGAGTTTTGGGGTGGTGGGATGTACAACGACTGTTAGATTACTATCATCAACAGTATTAAATTAATTAAGAAATGTGTCCTTCCTATCTATTAGATTTTTTGGATGTACGCTATTTTTATAAAGATCAAAGTGAGTAGTATTAATTTCTCCTGTGATGAAATTTTTGAGTCTATCGACACCACAAGTCTGAAAAGTACAGACTACAAATTTATTGTTACTATTTTTAATGATAACTTCTAAGTAATCAGTATCCATCTTGCTTTTTTAAATATAAGGTTCATAGTAAGAAAATCATTTTACTTCTATACATAATTTCTGGCATATATATATCTTATTTTGCGTTATTTTTTCTAGGAATTTTTTTTTGTGAAAAGTTGGTAGACAGGAACTTCTACATACTACTATATGCTTAATATCTTGCTGAGAAAAAGTTAAGGAGGTATAAAACGTAATTAGTATTATCGTATAATGCTAAGTGTTCTATGAAAGCGTATGAGAGTAAAATTTTCAAACCTTTTCATATGTAGATCTACTCAGAAAGATCATAGTTGGTTTATGTCCAGCGATCTCAAAATTACAAAGTTCTCAGCCTTTTACAACATATGCTTTTGCCATCACTATTTACTTTTATGATAGGTCCTGCATTGTAACTAGACCTCCTTTTCCTCATGTTTGTTTAAGGAAAAAAATAGAGGTATTGGTTAGCGAACATATATGTGAAATTAATATGCAAAAATGTCACTCAGACCTATTATATGATTAGCCAATTTTATTGCACAATCTATAACTCAGCAAAAAAATATTCTGAATTGATGATCACTGCTCCAGACTAGCTAGGTTGGTAGTGAACTAGTATTCTGCTTGATCAGCTAGTATTCTATTAAAATAATTCTTCGGTAATTATCTATTAGATTGCCAGTTTATCTGATATAATGTCTGTGTTAGATTCTGATGTAAAATTTTATCAGTTCAGGTCGTAACAAGAATATCAGCTAAAGTAGACTGTACTAAACTCTGATGGGCAATACCAGTCTGTCTAAGATAATTACTGATTGCGGTAATAAAATCAGGAGGCGTTTAAGCTTTCACATAATTCTCAATATGGATATTTGGATTAAGTGAAATGACTTTGTTAATTTTATAACACCCTCTCAAATTAAGATATTTTAAATTAAGACATGATCTAACAGTTTCTTCAATAGTTATATCAGTAATTTTACAATTGCTAAGATCAAGTTGTTGGAGTCTTAAGCAAGAATGAATAACATTACAAAATGATTGTCCACAAATATCTATGCAATGAGAAATGTTTAGATATTCTAATTTATAGCATGATTGGGCAATTGTATATAGACCTTCATCAGTTATTATGCTTATATTACAGGATTTATACTCATCTTTTGCAAATTAAGATACTTCAGATTGGGGTATGATTCTGCTATTTGATTTAGAATTTTATCGCTAAATTCTATGCTAAAATTAAAATCTAAATAAACTATGTTTGGAAACAAGCACACAATGCCTTTGATTTTTTATTTGAAAGATAGCAGTAATGTGAAATTTTTAGATGAGTTGGATTTGAGCTATAGACTGACTTTTGTCTTTTTTGTACTAATTTCATAAATTTCTTCAATCAAGTGCAATCTTCTCTTCCACCTTTCTTTAGCTTGACACATTTTCATAAAATAGGAGTATCGCATTCTCACCATAATTGACAAACAAATAAAATGAGGTAAAGAGATTTATCTATCGCTAAAAAATGTAAAATCTGTTCTAATAGTTCTGGTATAATAAAATGCTTAAATGTGTTATGAATAATATATGCTGTAACTTTAAACAAAAAATAAAATTACGTGATCACCCTTCTTCACTCAAAGACCTTCAGGAGAAAAGCTTTCCAATTATTTTTATATATCAATTCTAAAAAATATTTTACTAAACAGTTGGCTTATCTCTTACAGTACCAAAGGTACAAGGAAAAAATTTATTTCTGAATTTCAGCTAACATTGCATCAATTTCAGCTAACATGAAATTCATTTCTATTGTCTAAGACTTTTGATTAGGTTGGGATACTGACAAAGAAACCTGTATTTGGGATTTTGAACCATTTGTCTCAGGAACAGATTCAGATTCATGGTCAGATTCAGGACCATTGTCTTCTGACTCAGTATTACCTATAGCATAATTATCTCTCGCATCAAGACGGTTTTATTCTTGCCTCATTGCAATTTTCAAAAGAAGTTTAAGATGCTAAGGGGTTGGATTTTTACCACCATAAACTCTGGAAGCATGTTTACTCTCATAATCTCTTAATTTTTTAGGTATAGTTTTATAAGCTTCTTGCTTTAAGAATTTATTAAATGGCTAAGTATTACGTGTTCCACTTTTAGTAAAGACAGGATCAGATAACTTTTTAGCCTTAATTGCATCTTGAATCCAGGTGAGTAATTTCCTGATACGTTCTGGATTCTTCTCCATAGAAAGAAATGGTCAGAGCTCAAAATTTTCCTTCTTTTCTCCTCTACTCTTTAGATAGCCTGTGTAGTATCAAGAATAGCCTTCTTTATATCATGCTAGAATGTTAGAAGGATCTGGTTCATGGTGATTAATTTGAAGAGATCTTACTTCTTCTGGTCTCATACTCAACATCACTATCACATCTGTAAGATCCTCTCTAGTAGGAATTTTGAAAACATTTATGTTTTGAATTCTTTTACTCGCATTTGCTAAGGAAAAATGTATGGGAATTCTATTTGGATTAGCTATTTGTTTCTTAGTTCACTTTTTCTGAATTTCATTAGACTCTTGAATACGTTTTTGATCTTTAGCAAATGCTTTAATAATTGCAGGATCTATACTACTTTCTGCTAATTTTATACAGAATGTTAACTGATGCAAGACACTAGCAACAATTTCATTTTCATCATTACTTTTGGAACCAAGTACCAATGATTAGCAATAATGTCTATAAATCATTGGTCTTAACACAATATTTTGCTCTTTCCTCTATAGTAAGTTTTTCCTATCTCTTATCTGACAAGAGAACCTCTATCTACTTTTTATTAAATGAGCGTCTGTTATTAGTGCCTTTGGTAAGTGCAACCTTAACACATCTGCAGGCTATCCAATCAGAAAGTAAAGTATCAAGTTCAAGAGCATGTTCATTTAATTGTTTTGAAGTGAAGTCAGCCGATAAATTATACTTTTCTAGGAACTGATTCAAGATATATAATTATTAGTTTTAGGTTTTCGAGTCTTTGGTAGCCATATCTATACTAACTGTTATCTAGTTATATTATGTGAGAAAAATTCAATTTGAAAAAATTCCTTAACCAGGCGCTAAAGCAAAGGAATTTTGAATATCTATAATAAAAGTGAAGATGAAGTTTTAAGATTATTAATATCAAAATTACCTCGTATAGATCGTCTATCCTGTCAATACATCAAGAAAGATAGTTCAATTTGTGGAAAAAGATGCTGACGTATTTCAGGATGTGTCAGATATTATAAAATCTGTCCTAAAATAATATGCCCTATCTGTAATGAGTTAACCTATTCTCATACTGGAATCTATAAAATACATAGTGGAATTTATAGACATGTTTGGTGTAAAGATAAAAAAATAAAATGGAATCTGATATAATCGAGATACTTACTTCAGCTAAATAAAGATCTAGATTAGAGAATTATTTTCTTACTCTATAGAATCAAAGAGATTTTGAAGCATTTCGTCCCACTTTTATCTATATAGTGAAAGTTCTGATGCATCTTTATCTACAAAACCAAGACCATCATATGGCTGGTGATTAATTTTGTATGAATATTTTCAAATCTTCTATTTCTTAGGACCTATTTTTTTCTGATTGCTTTTAACTATATAGCCACACCAATTACCAATGATTGTATTGATTGTTTTTATGGCTGATATAAGATCTACACAGGACTTAAAACCAAAGAGTAATAAAGACTGACTTCAGATTACTATAAATCTTTCACACGATTGAGCGAATGCTGCTAAAATAATATTACCTGGAAGAATATGTATATCATTAATACCAGTAAAGCCTAGTATTTGAAAAAGTTCCCTTATAGCTTCCCAGTGATTTGCTGAATAAGATTTATGCAAGTCCTCTACTACTAATTTTTTCAGATTCTCTTCAGCTCTATAGCAGGCAATTTTCCATTGTATATTTTTTTCAGTTTTTAATCCCTTCATTGCACTCTTCTCATCATAACCTTACTTTCAACAATAAGACAACCATAAGAAATGCTTCTAAGCTTCAGGTGAACTAAATTTTCAATGAATTTTCTATTGCAAATATTATTCCAATCCTTAATACTCATGTTTTTACAATAAAGATTTCACATATAAAAATGTTTATATACTATAGTATTTGCGATAGAATACTCTTGATTGAATTTAAGAACTTCAGCTTCTTCATGACTAAGATTCTAGGAAGTAGCAACTGCGTTAAAATTTGTATTCTTAATAACTAATGCTTCAACCCTAACCTCATTGTGAACCCTTTTGCGATTCCCTATAACTTCTCGACTTTCATCCATTTTTATAAGTTGGAGGAAAATGCTTATACTTGCTATGAGACTACAAAGCTTTTCAATAAAATATCTTGCAGAAAGATGTTTCTGATGCTCAACTTCAATAAAAGTTATTACGGTTGAAGATGAATCAACTTTATAAGAAATGATATTATTATTCCATTCACGATGTTTCTTTATTGCTATTAGCAAATTATTAGGTCAAGCACTTTCAAGCTCTACTCAAATATTTTCATGACCTGGCAGACAAAAAAGTTCATTAGAATTCTTCTGATAGAATAAAGAAATAATATGACAGAAGGAATCACGAATTTGGTAAAGCATTTGTGCAAGAGTTTCAACATGAACTGAAGTGGTAATATTTGTAATGGTTATGACTATATCGAAGTGGCGTGTAATTTCAAAAGATATATCTGCTTTCACTGTATTTGTATAAGCCACGCAGTTGAGTTTATCCCAGGCATCATTAATATTGGAAAAGCCTTTTTGTCTTTGCTTCCCATCCATATCCCCATAATATATACAGGCTCTAACAGGTGAATTATCAGGTTTAGATAACTTAAATGCTTTTTCTACTAACGCTCTAGCCATCACTACTCCAGTAGATACAAATACCACATGTTTTCCTTACCTCAAAAGGCCATATCCTATTTTTATAGCTTCGGCTCTACTATTCGGATCATAAAAAATTTCAACCATCGCATTCACACGAGACTTATATCTATTATCAATTATATGAATGTCTTCACCATGATATGCTTTAAGAAATGCTAATGTCAACTTATTCGCAAAGACATCCATAGCCAAAACATATCTCACAGATCTTAATACATTACGTATTGCATTCTCAGATTCCTATGCATTTGCACCGCTAGCCATTTGATACATAATGGCATTGACTTCATCGAGAATAGCTACAAATGGATGGGCTGTGAACTCTATATGAAAAAGACTCTCAACTTATACTATAATAATATCCTACTCATTTATAACTCATCAAGTTTTGCTTTTGACTTGTTACTAAGAGATTTTTGGTAAGAGATTCAAATATAACATGGCATAAAAGAGATATCATTCACCTTACTCTTTAATACTATAATGATTTCTCTTAATGTAGTGGTTTTCCATGTTGCTGAGAATGAGCGAATTAATGTAGTTGTTCTTTCAGTACTTAAGAAATTAGGATATAATTTAGGAGCATCTTTCAGCTTTTTAACATTAATAACTTCCCCTGACAACTCAATAAGAGGATGTGGTTTTGCTACAGCATTAGCTATTCTTTCAGCTATTCTTTGCTTAGGTATTGTGAGAATTTTAGTTACTTCTCTAAATACCAAACCTTTATGGTCTAGCTTATATTGTTTTTGCTGATAACATTTGAGTATAAAACATCCATCTTCTCGAAGAAAGCCATATAAATGATTCCTTTCATGTTTGATATTACAAATAGGGCATTCTATAAATGATTTAGCATAAAAGGTAATAAACTCTTTTTCAGCTTTTCTGATTTCAAGCCATTCATATTTTGCAATAACTAAGCTAACTCCCTTGTTTAAAGTAGTTTCATCTTTGATAGGTTTGAACTCCTCTTTTTCTGACTTCTCAGAAGAAAAGGTTTGTGGCCAAATTTTTAAATAATTTGGTTTAAGTTGAACTAAATAATCCTCTAGTTTACGCATTCTGTTCTTGACTGAAGGAATCGCAGGTCTTTTGATTCTATCTCTCTTAGCTGATCCAAGAAGTCAAAGACTAAAATATAATTTGTAAAGCGTGAGATTGATAAATTCAAAATATGGTTTCCCAACTTTATCAGCAGGTCTCTATAATCAATAAAACAAGCTGAAGAATATATGATATGTCAACTGCATTTATTAGTACTAGACAAACTAGCTAAAGCGATGTTTTAAATCAGAGTATAAAATATCAGCGCAAGTAATTAAGATTCTGGATAATAAATCATCAGGAAAAATTTTATATCTATCTAAAGAAAGGAGTTCAGGATTCATGAGATCGAACTTCTGCCTCACATTAATATTCAGAACCAGGCAAAAAGGCAGGTTACCGTCAATACATTCATGAGCATTAGGCATCCCATAAATTTCAGATGGATGATCAATAACTGTAAAATCCTTTACAAATACTCAAATGATATATTTATTAAAAATCTCTTCAGGGTGATAAGTGCCTAAAAGAGCGATATTATTTTTACTATTAGTTTCTAATAAATGATGAAAATATGTATGATTATTATAGCCCAGCTCAAAATCAAGGTCTGTTACACCTGAGAAGAGCCTTATTGCTTCATCTATTTCTATAGAGTTGGATTTAAATTTTTTTGCATAGTAGATTCCAATATCATGAATAGTGAAACAAAAATCCGATTTGATCTGAATCTGACAAATCTGAATCTGAATCCGTATCTGAATTTGACAAATCTGATACTGTATCTGTATCTGATGAATCAAAAATTTTTTAACAAAAATCTGTCTCCAATATTAAGATCGGCATTTTATTATTAAAAATTGATTTTTTAATAATAAATGATGCGTCCGACTTTTGGGATAGCATTTTTATATAAAAAATTAATAAAAATTAATTTTTTTATTAATAAATTCCATATCTAATTTTTAGGCTGGCATTTTAATATAAAAATTAATTTTTATTAATTTTTTATTAATAAATGCCACATCTGACTTTTGGGGCAGAATTTTATTATTAAACATTAATTTATTTAATAATAAATGCTGTGTTCGACTTTCAGGGTGATATTTTTATATAAAAAATTAATAAAAATTAATTTTTTTATTAATAAATGTTGCGTCTGACTTTTGGGGTAACATTTAATATTAAAAATTATTAAAAATGAATTATTTAATAATAAATGTCACATCTGACTTTTAGTGTAGAATTTTAATATAAAAAATTAATAAAAATTAATTTTTTTATTAATAAATGCCACATCCGACTTTTGGGGTGACATTTTATTATTAAACATTAATTTTTTTAATAATAAATGTCGCTTCTGATTTTCAAGACGGCATTTTGTTATTAAAAATTAATAAAAATTAATTTTTATTAATAAATGTCACCTCTGACTTTCGGAATAGCATTTTGTTATTAAAAATTAACTAAAATTAATTTTTTAATGATAAATGTTGTTTCTAACTTTCGGGCAGCAGTTTATTATTAAAAATTAAATTTTTTTTAATAATAAATGCCGCGTTCGACTTCAGGGCAGCATTTTTTGTTTCAAATCTAACAAATCGGATCTGAATTCAAATCCAAATCCATCAGATTGAATCAAATCTAAATTCAAATCTGATTAAGATCTAACAGATCGAATTAAATTAAAATCTGGATCTGAATCTGATTCAAATCTGATAAATCCGATTCAATCTGATCCGTCAGATCTGAATCAGATTCAGATTGAATCAGATTTTTTGTGGAACACTATAAACAAGTATAAATTTATACAGAAAATACAAACTTTAAAATAAATTTACTAGTAATCAATGTAAAGATATTCTGAAGTAGTAATTATACAGAAACACAGTCTAAAAGGCAAAAACATGCAAAATATTGGTGACTCGGATGAGCAGAATTATATATAGAAAAGAGAAAATAAATTTTGCACATCTGGAGTTACTAACTAAAAATATTCTGAAGTAGTAACTATACAAAAACGTGGTTTAGAGCTCTGAATCAGGTCAGGTCAACCTGTGATCCGACCCGACCCGACCTGAAAAATCCAGGTCAGGTAGACAAAT